TCAGGCCCTTCCACTTGCCAGGGAAGCACTTATTCCACTGAGCCATCTCCTGGGCCCTTAATTATTCTTAAGCTGAAATAACTTCTCCCTCACTTTTTCCATTAGCACAATATATTTGTCATAAAAGTATTCCTCCAATTTTGTTTATAATGTACACTATTTCATACCTATAAATTTATTTATTTATTTTTGGGGGGGCAGAACCAGGGATTGAACTCAGGCCCTTACGCTTGCCAGGGAAGCGCTTATTCTACCGAGCCTTCTCCCAGGCCCCTTAGTTTATTAACCTTTTCTCTTATACATGTTGTTCCAAAGGAAGAAATAAATCATAAAATACACATTCATATCAACTGAGGAAACTTGATCTCAAGAATGCATTCACAACCCAGCAGAAAACAAAATAGTAGAACCTCGGGTGTTTTTTCTGCTTCACTGACATACAAAAATCAAAAATGATGGAAAATACATATGTAAATATTCTTTGAAAGTCTTCTTAGAGAAGAAAACAGGAGTTATAGCCACTAGATCAACATTACCCATTAACAGAATCATTGTGTAAATAACCGAATAAAAAAATATTAAAGGTTTATATGGCACAATATTATTCTTAGAATATATTTATATAGAGATTTTTTAATTTTCATAATAATTGTACGATGAAGATATAGCTCTGTAGTAGAGCGCATGCTAAGCATATATGTTGACCTGGTTCAAATCCAGCAACCACAAAAAAGAAAAAAATAATAGCATGAAAAAAATGGGTTAAATTTTAATGTACTCAATCAAAAAAAAAAAAAAAGGAAATAAAGGATCACAAATATTAATTGATTTAATTGGTACTTGTCTAGTTAACTGGGAAAGTCAGGGCTGGTATGCAACTATCCTAATAAATAATCTGCTCAATTCTCTCAGAATATTTATTTATTTGTTTATGTAATGCAGTAAATTTGAATTTATTCTAAATATCTTACTTATTTACTTTCTGATTGTGGGGTCAATCTTTGTGGTGCTGGCATTTGAATCCACATCCTTATGCATGCTATACAGGTGTTCTACTACTAAGCTATAGCCCAGCTCTAAGTAGTCTATCTATAATTTTAGTGCAGAGAAAAGAAGACAATTTACCTAAAAGCTCCTGGGTTGGTCCTGCCAAGACCTAGAACCAGGGATTCTGTGATTTCCATGCTCTCGGAGCGCATCATTGGAACTATGTGCTTGAACAATGATGAAGGGGATGGGATGCCAATAATCTGGGGGAGAAAGTACAAGAGTGATTTATAATACCACAGGCAACTAAATACTCTGACATTTCAGCAGTTTTTGTTCAAGGACAATGAACAGATAAAACGTCTGATCTGTGAACATGAGCAAAATAAAATTCATCTACAATAGTCATCAGAGTCAAAATCAGACACAGGTCTTAAGTTTTCTAGCTCCCTTTGGCCACATCATGACATTCTGTGTCCTATCACAAAACTATGGAACTGTCCTTAACAAGCATCCATTGTGTCGCTACATGATTTAAGAGACTTCTAGAAAGGCATTTATTTAAATGATTCCTTTTGATAATTCAGAAGTGTGACAACTATAGGAACCTGAAAAAGGGACAACGAATTCATTTTCCTTAAAAATATTTGTTGTGATGAATTTAATAAGCAAGGGCCAATCTTACTAGTGAAAAACTATGTGTATTATTGATTCCAACTAAAATCTATAAACAGCAATGGGATTCCTTGATATATATTTGCTTAATTATCGGTGAAAAGAACTTTTACAGTATTTGTTTCATGGCACCATTTAGAGACACAGTAGACCCAAAACACTTACTTTGGAATCAATGCTGTAGCCACTGTCAGGGGTGGATGCCAGGGTCTCAGGAGGAGAACACCTCACAGAGCCTGCAGATGTTGAGGATGACGTGGACGTCGCGGCACTGCAGCAAAGAATCAGATAGTTTCTCCACAGGCCAATGTATGAGTCACTGCTTGTGGTTGTATTTACTTTCTTAGCATTGATGGGGCTACTAAGGGAACAGAAGAAAGCCAGAGAGGTAAAAATCACAATGTGCTCTTAACATCTTTTATAGAACCACTACTAAATTGCCATCGATTTAAGGAGGTTATATTAGTAGCACTCAATGTCTGTGGAATGACACAATACATAAGTGAAGTCAGACATACACCATGAATTAAGCATGGTGCTATTAAGTAAACTAACAAAACTTGGTGAGATTCAACACATGAAAAGGACAAAGGACTTATAACTCTCTATCCCTTACAACTGTCTTCTCCCTCTTAGATATTCAGTATAGTGTGACACATTATTTATTGGACTTCTGACTGGTACCAGTTTTCAGATGCATACATTATGCAAGTTCATACTCTACACATTTTTAAATTTATATGGGAAAAATAACTTACTTTATATCAACCTGTGGGGACAACAACTGGAGCCTTGTGTATGCAAACATCCAAGCATAGCTCACTGCCGTAGAGCAGTGCTTTGGAAGGTTTTCTTGCTTTAAAAAACTGGAAAGACTTATAATCCATGGGTCTTGGCCTTGGGTCACATGTGCAAATATCCATATGTGTGATGGACTAATCACATCAAACTGATGGCTAATAGGAGAAGAGTTCCATTCTGCTAATGTTTGTAAATCTATAGAGCTAGGGCAATACAGCAAAGTTGTCTGTGTAGAAAAAAAACAAATTAATTATTGCACACTTCAATTAACTTTCCAAGTTTTGTTATAAGAGTTGCTTTAACTGAAAGTAGCCTACTGGTGGTTGCTAGAGTAGAGAACAATGAGGTAAAAAGGAGTAGTACCTGAAATTTTATGTAAGGACTTTGTGTGTGTTATGAGTGTAAATGGGTTTTTCTGCATAGAGTCCACTGCTTTTTCTTTAATCATTTCAGAAGTTGTGTATTTTATACACAAAGTTCACAGACCCAAAAACATTGATTTAACATTGAATATTAAATTCCCAAGAGTCCGTAGCTTCATTATTCTCAAAAGATTTATGATCCTGCTGGGTGTACTGACACACATCTATAATCCCAGCACTTGGAAGACTGAGGCAGGAAGACTACTGGAAGTTCAGGGCCAGCCTGGGCAAAATAGTGCACTCAAGGCCAGCCTGAATTGCGTAATGAAATCTTGTCTCAAAAAGATGGGGGGAAAAAAGGTCAAAAAAAAATTGAGAACCACAATATATGAATTTCTGATTTTTGCAAAAAGCTGCTAGAGAACTAATGGATGAACCATTAACTTCCATTTCAGGGTGATGGGCCCTGGTTATGCATGAGTGGAACATACTGGAACATGGGTTCTTCTTCAAATGCCCATTTTCTGAAACATTCTGTTTTACATAATATTTAAGCTCTGATACAGAAGAGATTAAGATTTATCTTTGGAGAATGATATGCATTAAGTACTACTTTAAGCACTAGAAGCAAGTAATTCATTAGTGTCTTTCTTACCATAATTCATGTTAATAATCTTTCAAAAATTCTTCAAATTGTACAGATTTCAATCACTTATTTTTTGGCTTTTTGAGACAAGGTTGTGTTATATAGCTCAAACTGACCTTGCACTCACTATTTGCTCAGGCTGGCCTCAAACTTGTGGCAACGATCGTGCTTCAGCTTTAGAGTGCTGGGATTACTGGTGTGTGCCAGCACGCTTAGCACTGGATTTTTAATCATTTTAGGTCGCAGGGACTGGGGGTTCAATCCCCAGGCCTGCCATGCCGGCCCCGACCCCAAGGCACACTGAGATAGCAATTGAGACTGGGCGTGGTGGCACAGCCTGTAATCCCAGCTCTTGGGAGGCTGTAAACAGGCGGATCACTGCAAGTCCTATCTAGTAGTGAGAACCTGAACACTCTGTAGACCCTTCCCTAAAATTTAAAAAAAAAAAAAAAAAATCATTTTAGGAGATAGCTTTGTAAATCTAAGGGTTTGCAAATGTTCCTATCATCTACCATTTTTATATATAACTTAGGGTTAATATAAAGGTGTTACCAAAAAAACATGTAGCCCTCTTGTCCACATTCTCCAAGATGGAGGGAAAAATATCTCAAGTGTTAAATAGTTACTTTTTCTATCACTATTGGAAACTTGACATAAACCTGGTTTTTAAACTGAACCAAAAAGTTAGCATAAGTTCTCTTTATAATGTGTTTGCTGACAAAGTGTTTCTTACCATTTTATACATACAATGTTGGCATAGAAAGTTATATACCTAACCCAGTGCACTTAAACCCATACAATAAAGTAAACAAAAATATTGATTGAAGGAAAACATTTTTTTGAATTGAAACATTTTTTATGTAATGTTATTTAGTATATCTGTCTTAAGTATATTATATTCTGTAACAGATAACAAGTAGTCCTAGTTTACAGGAATTTTTTCCTCCCCAGTAGAGGGGGTAAACCAAGGGGCACTCCACAACTAAGCCATATCCCCAGCTATTTTTTTAAATCTTTGAGACAGAATCTCCTTATGTAGTCCACATGAATTTGCAATCCTTTTGCCTCACGCTCAAAGATCTGGGATTACAGGCCTGTGCTAACAATAACACTATATTTAAGAAAAACTTCTTGGGTTTGAAAAATTTGAGTTTTACAAAGATAATTAATGTCATTTTCATAAGAACAAGAACTAACTACAGCCTAAAGAAGAGTCTCTTTAAAAACACATTTCACTTTTAAAGCATCTCATACATTTCGAAAATATTTTACAACTTATCTCTGTTAAGAAAATTTGTTTATGAATGAATGTCTGTGTATCTGCTTTATACCCCAAAACAAGACTGAGAATCATGAAGTAATCAGTTACCTGATCAGCCCCTGTGAGATGGATGAAGCTCTCGAGAATGGATGGGCTCAGCCTGTCCATCACATCTATGGCTAATTCATCATCACCCTATAAAAAAGACATTATCTATCTAAAAATGAATTAGGAATGCTTAAGGACAGTAGGCAAAGCTAAGTAAATGTTAAGCAAATCTATGAAAGGAATCAACAGTAGCTGGGTTGAAACCCTCTCTAAAACACTGTATTACAGAGTATAGTAACAGAAATGAGATAAAGATGGACAACAGTATGAATTTTAAGTACTTTCATCAGACAACTGAAAGAAATACCTAAATCTTACCTTAGGTATTTCCAAAAGTGCAAATAAAGCCCGTATTTCTCTAAGGACACTGACAGCTAATCTCCTAGTGGCAGGTCGACTGCTACAGAGAATGACAAGTGCAAACCCTTCTACCACATGGAACACAGTGGAGTACGGGCTCCTTTCCAGAGAGGGGGGATGAGAAGCTCCATTAGCTACACCGTGCTTGAAAAACAAACACAAGTTAAAAATATGCATGGACAGCCATTATAAAAACAACCCCACAATTAATACAGAGTAAAGCAAATCATGCAATTATGGCTACAGATCTGGCTTGGCTCAAGCAACTTAAATAGTATTTAATTTACTAAAAATGTAATAACACTATGTATGGAGCAGAAAAGACATACCATTGGCAGCAGGAATGGGAATTATGTACCTAATTTCTGTCATTCTTTTACCCTTTAACCTTGCAGCCTGCATTTACTCTTCATCTAATGTTTCTGCATGCAAAGAAAAGGGGACTGGCTTGTAATTTTCGTGTTGCAGTATAGACCAGCAACAAAGCTCAGCTGCAAGCTCATGAGAGCAGAGTTTACTGGCCCCTGTGGTCCTCTGCGTGGTCATTAAAGGCTAAGAAGCTGGGTTGGCTTAGGTGGCCCAACTCTAAAACACCAAGGTTCTCTCATTTATACAGTATCATAAATCAATAATGTGAGCCCTTTTAGGGTTGAGGAACACAGATGCTATAAATGTCAAGTAGGAACTGGTGCCTTGGATAAAACAAACAAATAATCCAGTTGGAAGACTACCTAATTTTTTTACTATATAAGCTTTAAAAATATAGGAAACCTGTCACCACAATGGCTGAATGATTAGGGCACTGGGTTAAAGAGCCAAAAATATAGAAAACCACCTAAATTTGAGTTAGTGTTAGATCTACTTTCTAGGTTCATTAAAATCTATGGAAGGTTAGAAAAGTTAAGACACACCAACACTTTACACATAATCTATCAGAAAGCTGAGTGCCAGGAATTATGAACACACTGGGGGTAAATAAGACTAGTAGAAATTTTAGTGTTTGAGAAATAAATTTACATGGATATTATTAATCGTTTACCACGTATCATGTACAAAGGGACGATACGAGGGAATTTGGTACCTGTGAGTCTTGGTTTTTGTGATGCATTTGGGCTGCTTGTTTCCACTGGTTTATTAGCTGTACCAACATCTTTACAGCATTATCAAGAAGTGTGGGATGGACGTCAGTTACTTCACGAACAATAAAATAAACAAATCCTGAAAGAACATCCTCCCGCCAATCTGGAAAATCAAGCATTAGTGCCTGCAGAGTATTGAAAGCCAGAGCCCGAAGTTCTTCATCCATGTGAACTGTGAGCCTACCAAGAACAAAACTCCATTAGCAAACTTCAAAACCTTACCTATAGCTTCATCATCTAAAACTTGAAACAAAGATATTAAGAAATTGGCTATTTCATACAGACCACGTTTACTTTTTACGCCCTACTCATCCTTATTCCAGTCTATAATCTTTTGCTTAAGCTCCCATATGAATCCATTCATATTAGTTGGTATTTCAACTATATTTTACAATAACAAGTTTGATCTTAACTCAAATGTCATAGTTTAGAATGGAATACAGATGATGTTCATTTAAAACTCTTCAACCTTTAAAACACCATATGCTATTATCTATAGTCATAAAAATTTATGTCCAACCACTTGCTATCTTAACACGATCTGACGTTTACTTGGTCCTTCACCATCACAGGAGAGGACATAACTTAATCATTTCTCACATACAGCTGAGGTTACAATTAAATGTACAAGGGCTATTTATGAAGGAAATAAGACAAAGTGAGATCGAGTGGATTTAACAGAAATACTCCTAGAAGATGAGGATGAGAGTATATTTAAGAGAAACATCACAATGGTATATGCCTAAAGAAAAACAAGGAGGGTTGAGACTCAACCAAGCATGGTCGCATAGACTTCTAATTCCAGCTCTCCAGGACACTAATGCAAGATCAAGTCTGAGCTCAGCAGAGGTGATTTAACAAGTTAGTTAAGTTCTGTCTTACATAAAATATATAAAATTTACATATTTATACATAAGGGCTGGAGAATAGCTTGGTGCAGAGCCTGTAGTTCTCATCTCAGTACTAAAAAAAAAAGATAAAAGGGAGGGCATCAACTCAACACACAAGGCTCTAAAGAAAGTGTAAATCTAAATAGAAGAGACCACATAAAGTTATTTTTCAAAGACATCAAAAACAATGTGATGGGCAGGCAAGATAGCTCAGCAGACTAAGCTCCTGCTTTGGCAAGCGCAGGGACCAGGGTTCGATCCCAGGTCCCAATGCCATGCACCCAGGGCATGCTGAGCTATAGACTAAGTCTGGGTGTGGTAGCACATGCCTGTAATCTCAGTGCTGGGGAGGCTAAAAACAGGAATATCACTAACAGTCTGAGCTGTGTAGTAAGAGCTGCATAGTGAGACCCCATACCAAATACATAAATGGGGAAAAACATGATACTTTGAATATAATTATAATTAAACAATTTTAAAAAATAGTAAAACAAAGTAATAAAGTCACCAACATTTTACAATATGAAGTCACTGATTTGGGTCTAAAGAGGAATTATTTCAGTGATTGTCAATAATGGTAAATGTATTAAGTTGGTAATAGCCTGCATAGAGCATATTTTTTTTTTTTAATTTTTATTTATTTTTATTTAGTGTGTGTGTGTGGCTAGCTCAGCCCACCAGGGGGCAGGGCTGGCTGGCATGTGGTGCTGGAGGATTGAACCGCGGTCCCTGTGCTTTGCTTAGCGTAGCTTGTTCTAAGTAGGTGCTTTAGACCACTGAGCCATCTCACCAGCCCCTGCATAGAGCATATTAAAAATATGACACAATGACATGTGGGAAGCTGGGAAGATGGAGTTATTCACAGTGACAAGAGGAGGGAAGCTGCATGGCTTAGGAGAAAGGCAGTATAACGGACTTTACCCTGCTGAACTCAGTTCTGGTCTTCCAAAACGAACCTCAGCCACCAGTGAGATGGAGAGGAAATGTCTTACAGCTACACAGACTCAGGAGTAAGCCCCAGGGGAGCAGCAGTTAAAAATGAACACAGCACAAACAGACAGCATTAGACTTAAGGCTATGGCCCAGTGTGCTCCTCTGAAAGCTATAAGGGGAACAATGTTAAGAGGAGAGTGACAGAACCGGGCATGGTGGTGCATGCCTGTAATCCCAGCACTCAGGAGGCTGAGCCAGGAGGATTTCTGCCAGTTTGAGACCAGCATGACAAGTGAGCACAATGCCAGCTCGAACTGTATAGACAGACCCTGTCTCAAAAAAAAAAAAAAAAAAAAATTAAAAAGAGGAGGGTGACAGGGCTCCATGAAGACTGGAAGCATAATATTATCCCTCCAATCTACAAACAGCTAAGTACCTAAGTCACAGCTATCTGTGGGAGTCACGAGATACATTCATGGGTTGATTGTTCCTTGTGTTGAGATGGCAATGCGTCCTGGCTAATAAAGGCAAGGGAGCTAATCAAAGTTCCTTAGAGACTGCAATTTACAGTGCTTCTTTGTTTGCTTCCTTTATTTTTTAAAAAATATTCTGATACCACAATTCCAAATGACAGCAGTAGAGAACCAAAGAGAGGAGATCCTAGGATCTTCCTTTCTACTCAAGTAAATTACTTAGCAAATGAGTATCCTACAGAAAAGAAGCAAAGTAAACAGGGAAGCACACTGTTATTGTAGGATCAGACTGGCCGCTCTGCTAGGCTACCCGTCCCTGCCCCTCCCAGGGACTGTCTCACTCAGGTGGGGGACATGGGAGATGTATCTTCTTTGTTCATTATTACCCCTCAGAGAAGAGGGGGGTGAGCTGATCGGGAGAGGGAGGTCAGGACAGCAGTGGCTATTTACGCCTCTCCTGAGGAAGAACATTAGAAATACTTAACATTTTTAATCTCCAATGTTGATGGGACTTTGCAGCTCTGCAATCTAATTCACAGCAAAAATTAAGAGGCAGAATGGGTAGGGAAGGAACTGAATGATGCAGTTTCAAATTAACCCCTGCCTCTCTCGGTCCCCAAGGGAAACAAATACCACTTTATCTCTGATCTCAGTCTGCAACAGGTGAGCTCAGTGTGGTACATGGCTTTGTGACACAAAAGCCCTTTTCAGGAGAGTTGGCCTGGAGCAACAGACTCCCTGTTTATTCACTGGGAATTTAACAATCCTTATGGGTAAATGCCCAGCAAGCAGAGACGGTCCTGGATGTGTTGCAGTCACTGCCATGGATTTTCTTTCTAGGGCAGAAGCTGACCCCTTGTGGCTTAGGGCTAAACCCAGCCAGCTGCCCAAGGGCAGCAGTCGAGCCCACTCCTTCACATCTGGTCTCTAGATGCTTTTCTACCGCAACATAGAGCTGAGTATTTCCATGGACTGTGACCTGCAAACCATAAGGTATTTTCTAATGGATCCTTTACAGAAAAAACAACTGCTGACTCCTTATTATGCAGGATCCACAACAATGTCAACAAAGCACTTTCTTAACAGGCTGCCACCTCAACCTAGGAATCATTTGGAGTGAAATTTGATTGTCATGTCATTTATTCACTTAAAAAAAAAAGGGTGTGTTTAATAGAGGAAGGGATCTAAAAATGGGACTACTTCCAGGCTCTGCCACAGGAGAAAAACATGAAAATAAGACCTGGTCATCATCCTACATGCTGAAAATAAAAGGTTATAGGAATAGACATGACAATTAAGTCCTCATTCGGTATCATAATTCATGGGCAATTCCATATGTTAAGGGATAATTGTTACAGAAATCCAAGGAGCTCTTACAGATAGACTAATAATTAAGAAAACAAGATTTATAGGGAAATTTATAAGGTTTATAGAAATTAAAAATGAGAAGGTAAAATGTGATTAACTAAAATAAAAGACAAAAAACTAAAGTCAATCAAATGAAGGATTAAAAATGCCCTTATTACTAGCTTTGTAGCTTAACAACAGCAGACTCCTATCATTACTTAAAGGGACAGTAAAGACAAAATTAACACAACAGTCAGGAACTTTCTTACCTTGCTAACAATTCAATGAGGTCAGTTCTGCTCATTCCATCGGGAATCAACCTTGGAATCGCAGCAATACAAGTTCTAAACAAATCAATTTTGGGTTTTCTTTCCCCCCTAAAAAAATATATCACAAAGGATTTAATAAGAAGTATATTACTTGAGGTAGACACAAAAATTAAATTCTCAAAAATAGTTACAGAAGGTTGGAGCTCATCCTACTTTCTCCAAGTTTAATATATTAAACATAAAAATGAATTTAAAATAAAGAGTACACACAAATCCAATGGATAATTATCAGGCTGTGAACAGACATGAGAAATAAAATTTCAGGGCTGGTGAGATAGCTCAGCAAGCTTAGGCAGAGCACAGGAACGGCGGTTCAATCCCTGGTACCACAGCTGCTCCAGCCCCACCCCCAGGGTGGGCTGGGCCAGCCACAAAAAAAGGCTCAAACAAATAAAATTTAGGGGGAAAAAAAAACTAGTAAGCAAAAAAGGATTTGGGGGGGCTGGTGAGATGGCTCAGTGGTCTAAAGCACCTACTTAGAACAAGCTTAGCAAAGCACAGGGACCGCGGTTCGATCCCCCAG